CTGCCTTCGCCCGCCCTGAGGGGAAATGCGCAGCCGAGAGCTGGCAGCGAGGTCCCGCAGCGCGCCCGGGATGGCGGCGGGAAGGAGAGAGGCGCGACAGGCCGGACGCTGAGGAGACTGAGGTACCTCCCGCTTCCCAGCGTGGACATCGCCCTCCGCGTCGGGCGGCTGGGGAAGGAGAGGCTTGAGGTGGTCACAAAAATCGTGGGATCGTGCCAAAGGGGGACATAGACAGTGAGAGATCCGCTTAACTTCGGCCCCGCTCGGTTCCTGACACCTCCTGCGAGGAAAAACCCCTGCGGCTGTCCCCGGCCGGGGCCCAGTTCGCTGCGTTGAGTCGATCAGGTGGTTTCCAATTTTAGTTCTCCAGATTGACCAGTAATTGGCATCTGTTTGTAGGGGAACAAGCAAATTGCAGCTCTCCTCTAGACGAGATGCTTCCCTGGAAAGGGGGCAATGCCCGTCTCCAGGTTTTTTACATTTTCTCTGCAGAACTACCTCTCTACGTGTAGGATTTGGGGTTTCAGCTGAATATTTGAATGAAAAAATAACCCAAATGCACTGGCAAGGCTGGCAACAATCCCTCAGCTGCCATGAAAACCCACCGCGCTGCTGTACTGCCGGTGTGTCGCGCAGAACTGATGGGCAGCATGTCACAGGGCTTAAAACAAATGAAAATATACTTACTGCTTTCAGGTGGTAAAGACCCTCACTCGTAGGATCCCTCCTCAGCAGTGCTGTGTAATATTATTATTATTATTGCACTAAGAGGCTTTTTCAATCCTGGAGCAATGCACAACTTTTGAGTCAGAAGGCATCAGGAGGTGACAGTATTCCCGCATGCAAATTTAGAAATATACTAATAAACAGAAATGTTTTTTCCTTTTATTTAATTAGAACAGTTTTTCTAGCATAAGCATTTTGTAAACGATCTGCACCTGACTAATTAGTAAAAGGAAATCACCAGAAAATGTAAAATTTAAATCTAGCTTAACTGAGTTGAATTAATAGAGCCTTAAACTTCTATAAAACCTTTGAACATGCTCCTGTTGTTAATAAAGCAAGTGCATTAGATTAATATAAACCCTTCTGGAACCTGCTGCTGTTTGTAATATGGTCCAGGCTTAATTTTAAGGAATTATTTTCATGAGACTGTTCATCCAGTGGAAATACTGGAAAGGGGAAAGTCAAACTAGTAGCTGTAGATTGAGCTTCAGAGGAGCAGAGACACTGCCGTACACTGAGCAGTGTCCCCGCAGACAGGGAGCAGGGCTGTGTTTGGCTTGGTTGGCTGGAGAGAGATTTGGTGGGAGCCCTGTGGAGGTTGCTTTGCCCAGCGCTGCCCTTGGGGTTCACACAGGGGCTGCCCCCTCTTTCCTTTGGGTCTCGTACCCTCCAGGTGAGGCTGGGGGCAGTTCAGGGAGCCTGGGGAGCTGGAGCAGTTGGCTGAGGACCCTCTGAGTGAAGGAGTTCCCCAGCCTGGAGGGATGGGGCTGGTCAATGGCTGATCCAGGGTGTGAGGAGGACATGATCTCTGGCTTTGCAGCCCTGCACCTCCTCCCTGGTCAGAGATGTCCCCGGTCTCCAGCATCCCAGCTTGGGCCTCAGCCCGTCCCACAGGCACAGTCCCGCTGTCCCCTGCAAACCCTGCAAACAGAGAGGGCTGGTGCGTGGGGTCAGCGGTTCCTGCCCACTCAGCAACGTCTGTCCACGGGAAGATGAGTGTCACAGCCGGGAGCGTGTTCAGCCCTTCCAGGATCCCACCGGGCACGACTCCTCCGGGGGCCAGGGACCCTCCCGAGCCCGGTCCAGCCCTCCAGGCACGGCTCACGGGGAGCGTGTGAGCGGCCGGGGGCGGGCGGGCTGCGGTTTGCGGTTCTCGGGTCAGGGCTGTCCCGGGACCGAGCTGTGCGGGCTCTGGGGTTAAGACATGTCTCACCGTGAGACCCCCTCTCCTTTGCCAAACCCACGGAGAAGGGAGCTGTGCGGAATGACAGCTCCGGGAAAGCCTTTCGCCGTTTTACCTGCGGTTGAGCAAGCGCCAAGGGGGAAAGCGCTGTCCCTAAAACAGAAACGAGCACCATCAACCTCACCCGGGAAAGACGATGCCAAATTTGGGAACAGGAACTGATTCTTTGGAAAAAGACTCTTAGAAATGGTAAGGTCAAGTAACAGTGAAATGTACTTTAATTCCTTCAAACAGAAGGATATCTTGAAGGTACATCAGAGAAATTATTTAATTGATTTCAGTCTCTTAAAAAAAAAAAAAACCCAAAACAAAAAAACATGGTTTCAAAATTCAGGAACAGTATCCAATAAACAATGTACTATGGTTATGCACCTGTTTTGAGAGTGTGGTACAAAGAGAAGCTTACAGATTCAAATGAATGGCATAAATGACTGAGAAATCGATTCAGATAATGCTTGTTTACAGGGACAAAAACTATGTTGACAAGTATGAGTAAGCACACAGATCATGTTTTAAAAAAAAACCAAACCTTTCTAACTGTATTTACACACACATGGATGTATTTGCTTTCCTTTGGCACTAGAAATTACATACAAAAGATTCCATCTTATAGCAATTAAACTTCAAATAACCTTTGAGTCATTTAAGTCACAGAGCCCCAGCACAGTAGTTTCACCTTTATGAAACTGCCACCAATTCTATATTCTAACCCTGGAAATTCAGGCCACAAAGCCTGAATACAGCTTCCACCCGTGACCAGTTCCACTCAGCAGGAGTAACTGGACGCGAGGAGCTCAAGCAGCCATGGGGAATTAATGATACAGATGTGTTTAATAAGAATGAATCTCCCATTCTTATCCAAGGTGGATGTCTACCTTTAAATGGTCTTTATATGCATAAACAAATTAAATCAAGTGAAAATGGACACCCATTACATATATTCAGCCAACTTAAGACATTAAATGAACAGTCAGAGTACATGATGGCTATCCGTAGTATTTCTTCTGTGTTGCAGAGAAATATGTTAATCTCTACTCATGTCCATTGCTAGGAAAAAAAATTAAGATTCCACTTAACAAATATATTTTATTCTTTTAGCATGTTAGTTTACTCTGGCCATTGCCAGTAAACACTTCAGTTTCACAGGAAATTCAGTATTATCTGTACAGTAGCAAGAGTGTTTTGGCACCCTGTAAAATCCTAAAGAACATCCAAGAAAAATCTCAGAAGTAGCATTTCATTATCCAGACTTCTCATTTCTTGTTCATGGTATTTGACTTTGCAGCAAAACCTGAAGCTTTTTGTTTCTTTCAAAACAATTTTTATAGGTTTTCTGCTAGTAACCAACAGGGGTGTAACAACAATGGCACAGTTATCTTTCCTAAAGCATTAAAGATTAGGAAAAAAAATAAAAAATCTTTTCCTTCAACTACTACAATCAGTTAGGACTACATAAAAATTAAATAATGAGGCATCATGGCAAATAACAGCACATCGACCCTCTACCACGACAGGAAGCCGTTTTCAATCTTACAACAAAAAGGAATCAAATTAAAAAGAATCCAACATTTATAGACCTCATAGGTTTTGTTCCTTCTCTCTCTAAATGGTATGAAACCATTACTAATTAACATTTCACTTTGCTCTGCAAGGAGGATCAGGGCAGAAGCTTTTGTTGGGATGGAATAAAGTAAATGGTTGCCTTAGTTTTGCATCGATCACATGCAGACTGGACATTGTATTGTCTCTGATAACTGGATTGGATCAAAGCTGGACCAGACACTTACAGAATGTTTCCCTCACACTCATTATTTGGGTATGTCTCAAACAGACATTAATCTTGTTCTGCTAAGTGTACTCTTAAGCATCAAAAAAGCTGAATTTGTCTATAGCAAATTCAGTGAGGAAAAGGAATCAGAGAATATAACAGCAAGTCTTCCCAGAAGACAGTCTTTTCTACACATCCAAAGAGAACTAGCTGTTTGAATTTTAGATTAGCTGATACATTTAAAATATTTCAAAAGCACAGCATGTTAAAACAACTTTCATTACACTTGGTGGAATACCAGTACCAACAACCTCCACGTGAAATTGTTACAAGCTACTCAAATGCAGACTCTTAAAAAGAAAGAGTACAGTCTATCTAAAGCATATATACATGCTGCTACCAAAGAAAGCAGTGAAGTAGCAACTTTTTATACATGAACCTCGCTAAGAATCTTGCTCTTTGAAATGACCCTGAAGATAGTTTGCACTTAAGATTTATTTTCAACTGAAAAGACTTACAAAAACCAGCCAAATCTTATTGTAAGACCCCTTGGTCTTTTTATTCTGAGCTTGCATGACCTTTTCATGCAAACTGATTTACTGGAGATACACTACTACAACTTACTACTTAAAAAAAAAAAATAAATCTAAGAGTTATTTTTCTTTTTGAAAAAAAGAAGAATATAAACCTCTATCTTCGCACAAGGCACACGCACCTACAGCCTTGTTTTACAGTTAGGTAATTCAAGAAACAGGAGTGTGCAGTAGTAACTACCAGATGAAACATTTTACAAGTACTGAAATAGTGGAAACTAAATGAATTATCAGTTCACGCAACCACAAGGTCGCATTGCACTACATAAATACTGACCAAATGCCCCCAAAAATGCCAAAAACTACAAGCAAGTTCCAAACAGGATATTAAAGCTGTTTCTTTCAGTGAAGACCAACCAGTCCCTTTGTGTACACATTTAGTTTTATTGTAACAAAGCAACTTGTACACTTTAACGTTTAAAACTGAGCATCTTTCTTTCCTTTCCAGTGAAACAAAAAAAAAAAAAAAAAAAAAAAAAAAAGGATTTAAAAATAAACAAGAACAAAATTACAATAGAGAATGTCAATTCCAAATAAGATCCTACAGGTTCTGCTGATTCTCCATCAAGTGGCAGGGCTCAAAGTCATCATTAGGAGAAGATTTTATTTTAAAAGTGTCATCTTAAACTGCAAGGATGTTTGTTAAACATCACAATTAAACATGCCAAAGGAGAAGAAGCCATGTTGTCAAAATGCCCACTTAACCCACCCAAACATCTGAAACCCACCCCGGCTGACCTTCTATAACCCCATTTTTATTTTTTTATTTTTTTTTTTTTAAGTTTTTCTTTTTTTTTTAAACAAGAGAAAGTAGACAGATACATGTTGGTAAATGCTAACTGTCCATATTCACATAGAGACACAGTGTAATCTCTGAGCCCAATATACAGAGAAAGAAGGAAAAAAGCTAGATTCTATGCACTACTACACAGGGGCCTAGCACTCTTCAGCTTCCAGCAGAGTGAAGGGAGCAGAAGGTTTTCTTTTTTCCCACAGAACATGGTGTGTTGATTCCATAAACAGTTTTTGTTTTGAGACAGAAAGGGATAAAAATGAACTTGAAACAGAAACTGGCAGATTCTTTTCCACTGTATTCTGCTCAAGGTATTTCCCCCAAAAATAAATTGTGAACCATGGTGTAGAGGAGAGAAAAAGAGACCTCAAGAGAACAAGGCGACTGAGCACAAGAAAAAAAAGACAGCAACTTGCTCCCAGGGACTGGAGAAAAATTAAAAAGGTAAAAAGGGGGTTTGGAATCCATCAGTGTTCAATTAGTCATCTTCTCCTTCATCCTCCTGTTGAAAGATAAGCAACAATTAAAAATAAAAAATCTCATTACTAAACTTCAGATACCACCAACTTGCAACAAAGGCAATAACCAGGATGTTTTACTGCCCTGCAGAGTACAGCCCTACAGTGTTACTCAGAGCATGCTGCATGATCTCTTTTTTTCTTCCTAAGGAGCAGTAACACTCACTGTCAGTGCCTGTCTACATGGAAATCAGTTAATAACTGGACAGCCCAATAAAAAAACACCAGGTTTGAAAAACTACCCTGACTTAGAATCACTTCAAACACTGACATACCTTTAACATTCAAAAACCAAAAGGATCATCTTTTTTCCCCTCCTTTTAAACTCTGAAGAGCAAAATGCTTCAACTTTCAGATGCTAAGTGCTACGTTACCTAAGAGAGCCCAGTGCTCTGGTGCCCACAACAGCCCTCCTAGCTCAACACAAGCAGGTTTTTGCTGCTGGAATTCAGACACACCACACCCAGTGACAAGAACCAAAGGCATTCTAAGCTACCAACATCCCCAATGCTGGCCCTGGAATCCCACTTGCTACTAAAGGAAACTTCTAATTCCTGAACCCAACAAGGAGTCTTAGCTGAGCTGGCAATAAGCAGAAATAAACTGACAGGTGGGAGGATGACAGAACCTGGTACATCAACAGAAGCTATTTTAGTGTTCACTCATTAGGAATTTTGTTAGGCTAATATCCTAATTCACCTAGAGCACTTCCCTTACTAAAACTGTCTCTCATGTACACAAACATACTTGTTACTACACTGAAACCACTCCACAAGTTATGGCAGTAACAGTTCTGCTTCTCCCCTCCAACCACCTTGTCACTGATTATACAGACAAGAACTATTTTATCTTTGTAACAATGGCTTGGTAATTCTCACAAGACCACTCTTACAAATGTCTGATCTCATACACCAGAGATGGAAGGCATAAGGGGTAAGAATACTCACCTCGCCTTCCTCTCCCTCATCATCATCTTCATCTTCCTCCCCCTCATCTTCATCTCCCTCTTCATCAATATCCTCCAATCCTTCTTCCTCTTCATCATCATCGTCATCCTCCTCTCCCTCCCCTTCTTCATCATCCATATCAGGAACCTTGAAGACACATATGCAATATTAACTACAGCGATCAAATTCACCTTCACTCGCACAGCGCTATTACGGGTGCAGATCAACGACTCGGTGCTGTACTTACCAAGTAGTACTGCAACGGATTTGGCCAGATGTCATCCTTGATGACTTCTCCTAGTTCATCAGCCCCTGCATCAGAGTGGTCAGTGAACCAGGTAAAGAAACTTTCTGGCTCTTCATGCTGCCTCTTCCTACTGGCTTTGTTCTGTGTCTGGCTTGAACGTTTTGTCAGATCCTGTAAATAAAGTTAAGAAGTTCCCTCAAGGAGTGGTCTTTACATGGCTTTTTTCCCCCCCTATAAGCACCATTTAGAAACATACTGTCTGAACAACCACAAGAAGTCACTTACTACTCCCCCTTTCAGGGAGAAGTCTTTAAGAAACATTAAGAACACAACTCACAGAAAAAGATATCATGGAGAAGTCTTTAAGAAACATTAAGAACACAAACAACTCACAGAAAAAGATATCACTCAGCCACCTGAATTTCTCCTGGACATGAGAAAAGAGTAAAACCACCTGTTTCTTGTAATGACCTCTGCTGAAACACTGAAAATTCACAGGATCTTGCGTTTGATTTATACTGCCCTATCAGAGGGAAGCACAAGTACGGCAAGTGTTTAATGACACACTGAATTAAAAGATCTCACAGTGGCCAAATGCTACTCAGAGCAGCTGTAATTGTACCTAAATGCTACGACTACTACACACAGTTTAAGAAACAGTCTCCACACCTGTAAGCTCTGTCTCTCACTGGAGATAAAGAGCTGCCTAACCTCCTTCTCCTGACATTTCCTGCTTCAAAGTCTTCAGGCCATTCTTTGTAATAAGTGAAAGAAACCACGCAAACCGCTAAAACATACTGTCACAAGAACATACACAAGTTCTGTATCTACCACCTTACCCCAGAAGTTTATCAAGTTTGTAACAATCTTTTTGCCAAGTCTGAAAAGAAAATGACTATCCACTATTTAAAGCCATTATTTTTTTGATCATATGGTAACTCCATACTGCTAGTATTTGTTTTCTTGATAGAATCATAACACTTACAGGTTTGACTGTTTAATGAAGACTAATACCAGAATGCACATTGATGTTGTGGTCTGTTGTAAAGATCACATTCAGCTAGTATGTATTAGACTGTAACCTGCTGTACAAGAGAAGTTCTAGTTCTCAATGAACAAAAGATTAAGTTTTCTTCTCAACCTGAGGGTGACAAAACAAGCAGCAACTTAACTGCAACCCTCTGTTCTACTTTTAAAGTACTCATTTCAAAATCTTCAGGATAACATGAAACTGGCTCCCAACTTTTACAGAAACTTACTACAGCAAATTAATTATGTTTTAATATTGTCTGGATGAAAGATACGCCCACATTATTGCATGGCTGCAACTTCTGGAAATGAAGTTGAGAAAAAAAAATATAAACAACAAAAACCAAACCAAAACAAAAATCACACACCCCTATCAGAACCCCCAAAACCCTGTGTCCTGGTTTTTCCATCCTTGGAATTCCTAATTCAATGGTTATTTTAAGAAAAATACAAAACACAGAGTCTAGATCCAGGCCAAAGAGAGACAAGCTAATGCACTTGTTAATCTCTCCATCTGGTCGTACTTGTACTTCCACTGTTTTAATGGTTTTGCTCAACTGAGTGAGAGAATTCACTACAGTTCTCCATGTAAATGTTTGGTATTCCAAACCCTGCAAGACATGCATGAACTATGTACGTAGAGAAGGGGAGAGGGGATTGAGAGGGAAAAGGACAAGGCAGCTTCAATTAAAAAAGGAAGATACTGAAAGTGACAGTATCCCACAGAGCAGCAATCATCTCTCCCAGATGCAGAGACATACCTTTCCAGATTTCCATTTGATCTCAGTTGATTTTGAAGATGGGTCTCCACTTTCATTGAGGTGAAACTCTTTGGAGAGAACTTTATTTTCAAAGTATGGATTCTCATCAAAATACTGCAGAGTTAAAAGCAAAGGGTTAGAACCCACAAAATGTAAAGACACGTGCTAAGTCAAACCTGGTACTACATGGCTACCTGAAGAGATTAAGTTACAAACCACAACCCAATATGCAATTGCATTAAAAAACAAAACAAAACCAAACAGGAAAAATCACAAGTGAAAGAATTATTTAAAGTACTCACAAAATCTATTCTGTAACCTGATTTGATATCTTCAAATTCTGTCACCTCAACTCTGGTCAAATAATGCAGTGCTTCCTCATCTTCTTCTCCCAGCAGTGCAGATACTAAGAGAGAGTTAAGAATCCCACGTTAACAAAGCTATGAAAGGTGTATCAGGCAGGTCAAATACAGGAAACTGATAGCAAGTAAGGTTTGAAAAGCAACACAACTGTACAAGCCAACTTCTTGTGGCCCATTTTTTAAAATTTACCAGCCAAAAGACTATTAGAATTTGTGTGATTTGGATTTGCTGAGGTGAAAACATTACTTTTGCTTGTTGTAGTTCAACATTAAAAAGCAGCAAAAGCTCCCTGCATACATCTACCCTTCTCTCTGAAGTGCATTTTCACATATGCAATTTGCCCAATCTGCTTTGTCCTCTCAGAAAGTCGACTGGCAAGAGTCCTAAGGAGCTCACCTCCAATTAAAAAACCACCAAAAACTAGAATATTCTCTTTTTCTTTTTTTTTTCTTTTTTAATTTAACTAAGAAAAGTGGGAAACTTGTAACTTAAAATGCAGAAAGAAAACCAACATGGGATTTTAGTGAACAAGATGTTCCTTTGGTCAATAAATGCAAGAAATAAAAAGCTTCTACAATGCACTCTAGGACAGAATGGAAGTGTTTGCATATGAAGCAGGCTCCTGTTTAAACATATGCCCAGCAACAGATCTAGAAAACCTTCAGAGCTGCAAGACACTCACATAACAAGCAAGCAAACACTGAATTTAGAGGGGGAAAAAAAGGACTATTAAGAATATACCTTGTGGGTGGTTGACAAATGTTGTTACCCAGAAATTGGGGATTTTGGCGATCAATTCTGACCTCTTCTGGAAGAATGGTTGGCGGAGTTTGTTGTATTTCTGTTCTACTTTCAAAATTTCCTCACTGGCTTGTTCATTCAGTCTGTAATAGAAAGAGCCACATTAACCACAGGAGAGAGAACTGAAACTTAAAGGCGTGTCACCAGTAGTTAGCTAGAAACTGAACGGGTCTGATGAGCCCAGTCTGCCACTGGCAACAAACGAGGCATCTCAGGAATAAAAACGAAACCCAACCTACAACCACTATGAAGAAACACACTACCAGAAGCAATCTCACTGATCTGAATGCAAGTCTTGTCTGTTCTGCAGCATTATATGATGGACAGACCCTTATTTACACAAAGCAAAGTAGTATTTTACCTCTTAAACACTTAGTTTGCAAAAGACCTGAAGACAGGTAACACTTTACACTATCAGCTGTTCTCTACAACTCTGGCAAGCAAGCTACAGCAAAACAATTTTGTACCCCACACAATTAAAATCTTAAGCCATAACATTTAATTGGTTTTGTTAAAAGTCAAGAGCCCTGATACTGCCACAGCTTCACACGGCCAGAGCCCCAACAGCCACCCGCAGTCTCTGTAGGACAGCAGGCGTGGAGAGAAGACCCAGGCAAACACCAACACAGAAACCCAAGTTCTGGCACACAAAACTGATGCTTCTACATTAGCTAACGCTTCCTACATGTTATTCTACAAGCACATGAATAATACATCATTTTAAAAAGTCTAATAAAAGATAATTTTCCCACCAAGTTTTTTGTTCTACTTACAAACATGAAAATACTTTGGCAAAACAGCTTACATGTAAAACTTGAAAAACTAGTAAGAAATAAATATCTGTTACCAAAACAATCACAATTAATTTAAAATTTAAGCTCAAGTTCGACCTTTTTAATTATTCACAATTAAACAAGAAACCAGGATATTTCTTCAGTTTTTTTATCACACACTATAAATACTTCTTACATCTAATCAAGTCAGAACACAAGTATACCTTGGAGAACTACTACCGAGTGCTTACTTCACTAAATATTTTTATTTTTGAAAGTTACCTTTCAATTTCTGCTAAAAACCTTTGAAAAGTTTGTTTACCTGTCTATTTCATTCTGTACTTCATCAATGTGTTCAATTGCTTCCTGTTGCTCTTTTTCTGAAAAACAAATGAAAACACATCAAAATCTTTTCCTTCTCGAGTCTGACAAATCACCCGGGGACTTTTTCTAGTCACCTCCTTCAGAAGTCCGCAGATACTTCTGTTAAATGTCATAAGTGTGACTGGACCTTAAAGCTTCAGCTACTTCCAGGGTGTACTACAGGTGTAAAAGTTTGATGAAACGGCGCTAAAAGCCAGTTTACCCTTAAAAATCACAGCACAGGTTCCTCTACACAGTTTTACAAGTCAATTAAATGATAAGTCAATCGTGATAGATTAATAAGAATTTAACTTAAAAGCTGCAAGCCAGATCTGTTAAAACCAACATATCTGAAGGAACGTTAAATAATTTAGAGAAGAGCAATATCAATAGAAACAGCCTAACTGGGAACACAGGACCTTCTAAAATCCGAGAAGAATGATGGAAAGGACGGTTATAAGCAAAAAAACTTCCCCGTGGCAGTTTGTCAGGCGTTTTCTAATCGGAACTTCCCCTCGACACAGCCTGGCAGGGGTCTGGGCGGCAGGAGGAGCGTTTACCGATCGCGCTGGAGATGAATGAACGGCAGCGGGAAGCGGCTGGAGCAGCGCAGCGCGCTCTCTCCTGCCCCGGGAAGTTTCCCGCACGGCTCAGCCCGCGTGAGGGGACAGTTCTCCCCGCTCCGCGGGTGGATGCGCTGCCCTCTCCCCACGACGGAGGAGCGGCCGGGTACGGAAAGCACGTGTGTGAGCGGAGCTGGCAGCGGGCGCAGCACCGCGGGAAGCACTCGATGGGAGGAGGA